TTCTGGTGATGCTCTTTGGCCTCACCAATGCTCCCATTACTTTCCAGACCCTTATGAATAAGATTTTCAAACCTTATCTCAGACGATTTGTATTAGTATTCTTTGACGACATCCTGATCTACAGCAGGACAGAGGAGGAGCACTGGGAGCATTTGAAAAGGGTGTTAGAAGTACTACTGAAGCACCAGCTGAGGGCTAATTTTAAGAAATGCTGCTTTGCATAAGCCAGTGTAGAGTACTTCGGCCATGTGGTATCAAAATGAGTGGCAACAGATCAGTCCAAAATTGAAGCAATGCTAAGGTGGCCAGTGCCAAAAAATCTGAAGGAGTTGAGGGGATTTCTAGGACTGACGGGTTACTACATACAGGAGGTTCATTAAGGGGTACAGCTCCATAGCATAGCCACTCACTGAACAGTTGAAGAATGACGGGTTCCTATGGGGGGAGGCGGCCACATCATCAATTGAGAGCTTGAAGAAGGAGATGACTACGGTGTCGGTCCTAGCCTTGCCAGATTTCACTCAGATCTTCATTGTGGAGACAAATGCTTCCGGGTATGAGTTGGGTGCAGTACTGATGCAGAGTCGTAAACCCATTGCCTATTTTAGTTATGTATTGACTACTAGAGCCCGGCTAAAATAAGTTTACGAGAGAGAATTAATGGCCATCATTTTGGCCATCCAGAAGTGGCGGCCCTACCTGCTTGTGAGGCATTTCATTGTCAGGACAGATCAGCGAAGCTTGAAATACCTGCTGGAACAGCAGATGGTGACGGAAGAACATTAAAGGTGGTTGTCCAAGTTGCTATGGTACGATTTTGAGATTTAGTATAGACCAGGGGTGAAAAACAAGGCGACCGACGCTTTGTCCAAATGCATGGGGGAGCTGCAGACGATGGCACTATCCATACCTTTGATGCTTGACTGGGAGGCCATCAAGGAAGAAAGTTCTAGAGATGAAGAATTGGGAAGTATCAAGTCAAAATTGTTGAAAAAGGAGAGTAGCCATCCAGGGTACTCATTAGAGGGAGACAGATTGATGTACCAGGGAAGATTTGTGATGCCCCGTGCCTCGATCCACATCCCAAATTTACTCTAAGAATTTCATGAAAGCGCAATCGGGGGCCATTCAGGAGTGCAGAAACTTTACTAGAAGGGAATGCATAAAGATGTAGAAGAGATTGTGGCAAGGTGTAAGATCTGTCAGAGGAACAAATAGTTGTCTATGTCACCAGGGGGAATACTACAGGCGTTGGTGTTACCGGGACGAGTATGGGAGGAGAAATCCATGGATTTCATAGATGGGTTGCCCCGTTCAGAAGGCTTCACAGTGATCTTGGTGATGGTGGATAAATTGAGCAAGTATGCTCATTTCATCCCCTCCGACATCCTTATACTACGGTGACAGTGGTTTCAGCATTCATTAGAGAGATGATCATATTGCATGTGGTACTAGAGGCAATCGTGTCAGACAGAGATAAGGTGTTCCTCAGTCATTTTTGGAGGGAGTTGTTCAGGTTACAAGAGACAGTGCTGAAGAGGAGCACCGCTTACCACCCACAGATAGATGGCCAAACAGAGGCAGTCAATAGGAACCTGGAGAGTAGAGACATACCTGAGATGCTTTGTATCAGAGAAACCCAAGCTACGGGCCAAGTGGCTATCTTCGGCAGAGTACTGGTACAACACGTCTTTTCATTCTGCTTCACAAATGACCCCATTCAAGGTGTTGTACAGCCGGGATCCCTAACACTTGGTACATTTTGGGAGTAGCAGTACCCCCGTTTCGTCAGTAGAGAAGTACTTAAAAGAGAGGGACGAGTACTAGAGGAATTGAAAAGGCATTTACTAAGAGCTCAACAAATTATGAAGAAACAAGCAGATGGGCATATGAAGGACATCCAATTTGAAGTAGGGGAGAGGGTGTTCTTGAAGCTCCGACCGTATCGACAGAAGATAGTCGTCAAACAGGAGGAACGAAAAGCTGGCTCCAAGGTATTCTGGTCCTTATGAAGTGCTGGAGAAGAATCTAACCGTAGCATATCAACAGAAATTACCACCAATAGCAACTATACATCCGGTTTTTCATATATCGCAATTGAGGAAGGCCATTGGTGACTACACAGCCAGTCCCGAGCTACCAGCAACACTTATTGAAGATTTAGAGGCGATTATGGAACCCTTAGAGCTGGAAGGGGTTCGCCAAAACAAAGATGAAACTAAGGAGGTGTTGATTAAATGGAAGAACCTCCTGGATTATGAGGCCATGTTGGAGTCATATGAGAAGATAAAATAGCAGTTCTCTTGTTTTCACCTTTAGGACAAGATGACTCTTTGGGAGGGCGATATTGATATGGAGGTTCAGCAGAAACCGCCTATTGAGGCGGTTCAAAAGGAACCGCCTCAGCCTGCCCCACCTAGGCCGGCAAATTTCTACACGAGGCAGTTCAAAACCGCCTCCCTTAATGACTAAATAGGCTTGCCGCCTATATGTGGGACCCAATGGATTTAAATTTATTTGAAAATTATTTTTTAGGAAGGGCCTGGGCGGTGGAGAGCTTATAAATAGGAGAGGTAAGGGGTAAGGGAGAGGCATGCTTGAATTGGTGTTTCTCTTGGAGTCTCTTGGAGTTTGAGAGCTCTAGACCTAGCGTCTAGAGATTTGGAGAGAACGATCCTCCTCTCGAATAGAGGATCACTTGCATCTTGCTTTCTTGTTGGGTTTCCTTCCTTTCATTTGTTGCAATTTATTATTTAAATCAGCTAGATTTTGCTTTATTCTTGCTATTTTTCTCCAATTAGTGATAGGTTTGCTTGCGAACTCAAGTATTCCCTTAGGGTTACTTGCGAACTCAAGTATTTCCTATCACATCACCCAAGGAAACAACATTCTTTCAAGACAATCATGTATTGTGACGATTGACATCCATTACCAACCAAAATTTAAGAAGAAGATTTCAACAAAATTTGTCACAAATGACGATAGCAAGGGCCACATTTTATCTCCATAGATTAACCCCTTTGCTTTCATAAACGGTTCACAAGAAAAGCATATCACCATTCAAGAAATATTCCAGACATCACATTGACAACAAAATATGGACATGAGCACAAAGATTCAAGTATATGAAATCAATCCATTACATTCCACTCCAACAGTATATGACTTTGATCTTTGGAGTGTACATGAAATCAACACATTGTGATGAAATCAACTTTAATTATAACATGATTATCACAAACTATTATAGAATCCAACATGAGTTAACTTATGCGCATGCTTTGTATATAGCCATCATTTGTAACGTACATGAATGACCAAGTTCTTTACTCTATCCAAACTTTTTAGAAAGCATAGATCAAATGAAGTACAAACATACTAACTAGCCATCATCATTTTTTTTATCTAAACTTGTGTCTTTTAATAGTAAGCATTAGCATAAATACTTTACATCAATGATGCACAGATACGAACACGGAGATGGATTGGACACGATATTTTAGTTTTTATATTTTAAAAAGTGTATAAAAATTGAATAAGTATAATTTTAAAAATAATATAGAAATAATAAGTCATTTAACTAGAATTTGTATTTAAAATGACTAATATTAGAATGCCGAGAGTTGGGCGTCGATGTCGCTTATCAATCATCGAGAGAGAAGATGACAATGTTGTCGAGAGTCGGGCATTGATGTTATGCAGTAAATACTGGGCATCAATGTTAAGAGGGCATTTGTCTTCTATGTTGAGAGGACGTTGGTCGTCGATGTTGAAAAGGCGTTGGACAAAGATAAGATGTCATGTTGTGGGTGTAGAAATTATTAGTATCGAGTATAAATATAAAGAGTGTTAGACTTTGATATGGAGATCGTTTTGGAATGTTGATGTTGTAATGATATTATAAGTCAAAGTTGAGATGACATCGAACATTATTGTGAAATTAAAATTGCAACCCGATAACGAGAAATAAAAATGAAAATATTTGATAAAAGGGGAATTAAGTGCAGACGATTGATTTGATGTTGTTGATAGGAAATAAGAAAATTAGTTTTTATATTTTAAATAAGTAAAAATTTTAAATGCAAGAAATTATATTTTAAAAAAATTCATAAAGTATTTAAGATATGCAAGTTAGACACACTTGCCCAATTTGTATTTAATATTTTTAATCGGACACGTTTTTGGCATGTCGAACACGTGTCGAAGGAGTGTCGGACGCGTGTCGTGTCGGATGCGTGTCGGACACTGCACGCCTCTTTGAGAAGTGTCGGTGCCTCATAACTTTACATGCATATTTTGATAACGAACAACATAACTTCTCATGATCTCTTTATGAGATTTTGGAGAACAAATTATGCGATGTAAGTCATTAGTGAATGCAAATATTGCACAAAAAAAAAAAGATTTCAAACAATTTTTAAACACATACAAAATCAGATTTGTATGCTATATCAAGTTGCAAGCATGCTTTGAATGGATACCATTAGTTTCTACCACAATGACATACTTAACAAAACTAGAACACATAAGCAATCAATTAAATAAGAATGAAACCTTGTAATAGCAAAAACATTGACAAAGAAAGTGTCATTTTAGAAGTATTAATAGCTTTACGAATGGGGCACTAGAGGAGCCCCATGCCATTTTTTAAATGGAATAATACTCAAACATGATCAAAACTACCCATGCTAACAATAACTATCATTGTTTTCTCAAAAGAATTAAGCCATCGTTTGATAATCGAATAAACATAGCAAAGCCAAGTGACAAGAAATGGTGATGAATACATTATCAAATAGATTGCAATAGAAATTAAAGCCATTTTATATGTATATTGATGAAGTCATAACAATTGGATTAGAAGTAAGAGGGGGAGGAAAAAGAAGAGGAAGGAAAAGAAGAAGTAGAAAAAGAAGAAAATGAAGAAGGAATCAAAAGGAGAGACAAGAAAAATCTAAAAGAAGAAGAAGAAGAAGAAGAAGAAGAAGAGATTGCCTTACAAAGGGAGAGGTGGCCGGAGGCTAGGGCAGGTCGGCGGCGTCGGGTACGGCCATGGCACGTGAAAACGAGAGTAAGAAAGGTTTGCCTCTGGTCTCGAACAAAGAGGGGGCGACGAAAAAGAGATGGGGGCTCGGCTAGGACTCGCAAATAGAGAAGAGCGAAAGGGAGAGGAGATCTAGTCAGCTTCTTCTCTGGGGCGGGTTGAACAAGAGCAATGAGAGATGGAGTATGGGCTTTAGCTAGGTATGCTCGGGCAAGAGAATCGAAGGAGGATGGGGAGTTTTGGCCCTTGTCCGAATAGAAGGATCTGGAGCAGGAGGGAGGTGGGCGCTCAGTCTGTTGGTGTCATGTGCGAATGGTGAGAATCGAGAGGGAGAGAGGGTCTTTCCCTTCTAATGCGAATGGGAGAGACCAAGAGGGGCTTCGTTCTTCTGTAGTCGTGTGAATCAAGGAGTCAAGAGATGTCAAGTATTCTACCCGATCTCGCGATAATGCTCTATCCCGAGATGCAGCCTCCCGTATCTCACTTCTAATCGAGCCATCTATTGAGGGCACGAACTTGCTTAGAAAGTCTATTGAGCTCATCTTTAAAATAATTATGCTGATTTGGGTCCAAATCGAACTCAATTTGACTCAAATCGAGCTGATTCGGGTTAAATTATGTTCGAAGAGGTTCAATTAAGTTAATCGAACAACCTCAAGGGAAAACATGCGTAAAATAAGGTTAATAAACATAACCCCAACATGTGTGGTGAATAATAGGTGAATCACACATGTTGGTGTTGACCTCCTCATTTTTAAGAAGGTACAACCCAACAACGAATTAAAAAAACTCAACAAATATCCAACAACACAACAGTCATCCAATCATACAATAATCGTCCTACCAAGCAATGACCACACAATCATGCATTGATCACTCAAGCATACATCAATCACATAATTATGCAATAATCTCCCAACCATATAATGATCATCAAATCATACAATAGTCATGCAATCACACAATTACCACATAATTATGCCATAATCATCTAACAGTCATCAAATCACACAACAACCATGCAATCATGCATTAACTGCACAATCATGCAATAAACATGCAATCATGGAATGATCACACAATAAAGACATAATTACACAAGCATACAACAACCAATCAATCATATAATGATCACACAAGCATACAATAATCAATCAATCATGCAATACTCGTTTAGGAATAACCAATTCGGGGGTGGGGGGCGGGGGGTGGCGGGCGTTGGAGTATCTTGAAAAGAACTATAACAAATATGGGCATTTGCAGTTATGAAAGTGTGACAGGGGCACATTTTTTTTTTGGCTTGTGCTTCTTGGTAGTTATCTAGCATTAGGTACATTGGGATCTAGAAATATTATGTGATGAAGTATTGGAAAACCTTCTTTGAATTTGCCCAAGATCATTGGAATTCATCTATTTTTCTCAAGAGTCGCTTGCTTTGGCTTTGGTGCATTTCATGTAACAGGCTTATATGGTCCTGAAATATGGGTGTATGTAATGATCACATAATAATGACATAATCACACAAGAATACACTAATCAATCAATCATGCAGTCATCACATAATAATGACATAATCACACAAGCATACAAAAATCAATCAATCATGTAGTGATCACATAATAATGACAAAATCATACAAGCATATAATAATTAATCAATCATGCAGTGATCACATAATAATGACATATTATACGAGCATACAATAATAAATCAATCATTCAGTGATCACACAATAATGTAGATATGGTGGGATAAAAGGGTAGAAAGAAATTCAATATTTGTTTAACCAGATTGAAAAAACAAAGGCAATAGCTAAAAGAAAACTCAACGATCACCCGATGTTCATATCCATGGCGATTTGAGGAGAAAAGAGTGATAAGATCTAATGTCAGTCTGACCAAATCGAAATAGTAGAATAAAAGATAGTAAGAAAGTCCAAAGGAATAACAAAAGGGACCTCCTAAACAAAGGATTCCGCAGGTAACATCGAAGGGAAAACCCCTCACACAGGTCAACCCAACTAGGAGCACCGACATGGAAAGAAGATGAATATTATCATACAAAAATCAAGGTGAAGTTATCATGACATTAATAAGAGAAAGAACATATCTAGTAAAGTTATCATGACATTAAATCTAATTCAAGAAATATTTAAATTAGAGAAAGAAATAGAATCTTTTTAATTTTCTTGCCTGAAAAATATTTGTATATCTAATAGAATATTATTGTATGATGATGAATTTAAAATCATGATCTTCAAACTCAAGTATCAAAGATATCAAAGGACACATGATTTTTCCTAAAATTTAAAGATTTATAAGAAAGAGAAGCCATTTGCTTATTCATTTTGGGCTCATTTTGTGCCTCTTTCTCAATTTTGGTGCACTTTGCGCATCTTTTGATTATTTGATACACTATGTGCATACTTCATTTTTTGTACACTTTGCGAATCTTTCTATTTTGGGCTCATTTTGTGCCTCTTTATTAATTTTAGCACACTTTAAGTATCTTTTCAATTTTGTATTTGATTTCCTTTCTAAACCTCTAAAAAATACACTTTCTTAGTTATAAGATTATCTTCCAAACATAAGAGAAGAAAACTCATTTTCTTTTCCAAGGAAGAAAAAAAACTACAAAGTAAACTCGATCCTATGATAAGAATGAACAACCTGACTAAAAAAATTATGAAGAATATTTATCAACATACAAAAGATGCCTATGAGATAGATAATTGCATGAAGGTAGAAAAGATTTTCAGTTTCAAGCCAAATTTAAGTTTGATATAGATTTTAGTTAAAAAATATAATCACCCCCCACACAAAAAAAGAAAGGAAGAGAATAAACCTTTTTTTTATGAATCATCATGAATTCTCTTCTTTAAGTATTTAGAGGAGTCAATCAATGCTTATTTATATTTTAAATAGAATATAAGTAAATTTTCATTTAAGAAAAATAAGACTACTCACTTAAAAAAATTCCCTCAATAAATTGCCCTATGTTTTGACTTTCAAACTTTTCTCAAATAATTTTTTTTTAAAATTTTGCATATGTCAAATTTATGTAATTTGGATTTTTATTTGTATTGATATGAACCAAGACCCAATCTAAAAGAATTTAGACAAGGGGAATGATTGAAACTGAAGTTTATACCAAATATATAAATCATATCAATAAAAACAAAAAGAATCTAGATTTTCAATTGAAATGATATAAATTATGATTAAGTCAAGAAGAATTCCAAATAAGAATTCATTGAAATTGGAATTTTGAATTGAATAAGAAGAGTAGAAGTAGATTAATCTGGATTTTAATTTTAAAAAAATAGGATAAAGATCTAATAAACTCAAAATTTTAATCAAATCTTTATACATTAAAAAGGTCTGATCCTCATGAAGAATTAAGAGAAGAGAGTGGAGTAGAAAAGTGGAACCCAAATTAAGCACCAAATTAAGAATATTTATAGAAGAGCATAATACAACATCCAAAGATGGAGAATGGGAGTTTCGACCCTTGTCCGAATAGGAGCAGGCGGGAGGGGGATGCTCGGTCTCTTGGTATCCTGTGCAAATGGAGAGAATTGAGAGGGAGGATCTTTTGCCTCTAATGAGAATGGGAGAGACCAAGAGGAGCTTCGGTCTTATTGTAGTCGTGCTAATTTTGAAGTCAAGAGACATCAAGTGTTCTACCCGATGTTGCAGTAATGCTCTATCCCGAGATGTCGCCGCCTGTATTTCACTCCTAATTGAGGAGAACATACGCGTGTGCCATCAATTGAGGGCGGGAACTTGCTTAGAAAATCAATTGAGCTCATTTTTTAAAATAATTAAGTTGATTTGGGCAAAGTTTGGGTCCAAATAGAACTCAATTTGACTCAAATCGAGTTGATTTGAGTTAAATTATGTTCGAAGAGGCTCAATTAAATTAATCGAATAGCCTCAAGGGAAAACATGCAAAAAATGAGGTCAATAGCAGGGTGCCATGGAGTGATGATGGGTACGGGGAAGGTGGAGATGGGCCATGGAATATGTAGGGGAGTGGTTTTGACCATATAGGTGAGGGAGGATTTTCTCCCATTGGAGTTAGAGAGCATTGATGTCATCTTAGAGATGAAGTGGCTGCAGACCTTAGGAGACGCAAAGGTCAACTGGAAGGTATTGATGATGGAGCTGATGGTGGAAGGGAGAAGAGTAATGATAAGGGGAGATGGGGGGCTCTCCAAAGCCATGATGTCACTTAAAACCATGGTGAAGAGTATCCAAGAAGTTGGGGAAGGGTACTTGGTGGAACTACACAGGCTAGAAGGGATCAGATTGGAGGAAGGAGGGAAAGTTTCTCTTTCAGTACAACCATTGATCCAACAATTTAGTGAGGTTTTCCAACCACCTCAGGGATTGCCACCACCAAGAGAATAGGAGCATGCAATTACTTTGAAGGAACGTGTGTTACCCATCAGTGTCAGGCCCTACCAATATCAACAATTTCATAAAGATGAGATTGAGAAGCTGATTAGAGAGATGCTAGGAGGGATTATCAGGCCCAGTATTATCCCCTTTTATAGCCTAATATTGCTGGTTAACAATGAAAATGGGAGTTGTATGTTTTGTGTGGACTACAGGGCGGTAAACAAGGAAACTACGCCAGATAAGTTTTTCATCCCAGTGATAGATGAACTACTGGATGAGTTGAGGGGAGCAGTTATCTTCATCAAGATAGATTTGAAGTCCATAAACCATCAAATTAAGATGAAAGAGGATGTGCTTAAGATGACTTTCATAACTCATGAGGGGCATTATGAGTTTCTAATGATGTCTTTTGGCCTCACTAATGTCCCAGTCACTTTCCAATCCCTCATGAACAAGGTCTTCAGACCTCATCTCAAGAGATTTGTGTTGATGTTCTTTGATGATATCCTAGTTTATAGCAAGTCAGAAGAGGGTTCCAGAAGTGTTACGAGAGAGCACCAATTAAAGGCCAATTTGAAGAAATGTTGTTTTGCCTAGTCTAGTGTGGAGTACTTGGGGCATATCGTCTCTAAGGAGGGGGTGGCAACAATCAAGCTAAGATTGAAGCTATGTTGAGGTGGCCAGTACCAAAGAATCTCAAGGAGTTGAGGGGATTCCTAGGACTAATAGAATACTACAGGAGGTTCGTGAAGGGGTATAACACCATCGCAAGACCACTAACAGAGCAGCTGAACAAGAATGATTTTTTATGGGGGGAAGCGACCATAGTAGTTTTTGAGAGCCTAAAGAAGGCCATGACTACACTACCAGTCTTAGCCCTACCAGACTTT